ACATCAGAAAGGGCTTGATCCCCTCAGGGGCATCCCTGGGCTCCAGTGTCTTGCCTTTCCCCAGGTTTACGTTGATCTTTTCTTGCTCCAGGGTGAGCTGGAGGCTGGTTCCAGGGTTGGAGCTTTCAGAAGCAGTAAACGCTGACACCTGGAGTGGAGTTGAAGGACTTTATTTTTTTGACCACATCACGTGACATGTGAGATCTTAGTTTCCTGCCAGGGATTGAACCTGGTTGCCCCCTGGAGTAGACAGTCAGAGTCTTAACTACTGGACCACAAGGGAAGTCCGACCATTAATTTATTTATTTTTAGGTTATTTTATTTCTTTTGGCCATGCCCCATGGCATGTGGGATCTTAGTTCCCCAAGCAGGGATTGAACCCACACCCTCTCCATGGGAAGCACAAAGTCTTAACCAATGGACCACCAGGAAAATTCCCCTCACCCCGAATTTATTTTTAATCTAAGTTCCTTTGGCCACCACCACTCCCCCATCTATGGCCACCTCTTTCTTGGGCCACATCATTCATTCTCAGTTGCTTACGTGCGTGTGTGCTAAGTCGCTTTGGTCGTGTCCGAGTCTGAGACCCCATGGACTGTAGCCAACCTCCTCTGTCCGTGGGATTCTCCAGGCAAGAATACTGGAGTGGGTTGCCATGCCCTCCTCCAGGGGATCTTCCCAACCCAGGGATCGAACCTGCATCTCTTATGTCTCCTGCATTGGCAGGAGGGTTCTCTACCACTAGTGCCACCTGGGAAGCCCCTCCGTTGCTTAGGAACCCTCAAAGTTCCATGGGTGGAACAAGTGCTGGTCTTTGAGACGTTATCTTTGAGATGTTAGAAAAAAGTCTTTCCTTCTGGGCAGATGAGTAAGGACGGAGCCTCTGCCAGGAATGTTTCAGCTCCCACAAGCCATACCTAACCTACCCTACTGTGTGTGTGTGGGGGGCAGTCTCATATTTTTGTGATAGAAAATATTAGCTTTGAATACTGCCATTTCCACCTCCAGGGGATATTCCTAACCCAGGAATCGAACCCGTGTCTCCTGTGTCTCCTGCATTACAGGCAGATTCTTTACCGCTGAGTTATCAGGGAAGCCCAAATATATAGTAAATAAAATAAAAGTCTTCAGCTCATCTGTTACCTTCTTGGAGCACCTTAGATTTCCTCCCAGAAAAATCTCTGCCAATGAGCCTGTGTGTGCATTTTGAACACACACACACACACATCAGTGTTCACTGCAGCACTATTTACAGTAGCCAGGACAGAGAAGCAACCTAAATGTCTATTCATTGACAGAGGAATGGATAAAGATGTGGTACCCATTTACAGTGGAATATCGTGCTCTGTGCTCAGGCATTCAGTTGTGTCCTATCCTTTGGAACACTTTGGACTGTAGCCTGCCAGGCTCCTCTGTCCATGGGATTTTTCAGGCAATAATACTGGAGTGGGTTGCCATTTTCTCCTCCAGGGGATCTTCCCAACTGAGGGATCAAACAGGCATGTCTTGCATCTCCTGCAATGCAGGTGGATTCTTTACCCACCAAGCCATTAGGAAAGCCCAGTTGAATATTAATCAGTCATAAAAAGAATGAAATAATGCCATTTATAACATGGATGGGCCCAGATATTGTCATACTGTGTGAGGTAGTTTAGACAAAGACAAATATATGATATAGCTTATATGTAGAATCTAAAAAATGGCACTAAGGAACTTATTTATAAAACAAAAATCGAGTCACAGATGTAGAAAAGAAACATGGTTATGTGGGAAGGGGGTGAAGGGGGGGTAAATTGGGAGATTGGGGTTGATATATACACGCTAGCATATATAAAATAGATAACTAATAAGAACCTACTGCAAAAAAAAAAAAAAAAAAGAACCTACTGCATAGCGCAGGGAACTCAATACTCTGTAATGAGCTATACAGGAAAAGAATCTGAAAAGAATGAATATATGTCTATGAATAACTGATTCACTTTGGTGCACACCTGTAACTAACAAAACATTGTAAATCAACTACACACCAATAAACACACACACAAATAACTACCTACTCTACTGTAACCCTCTGCTCTGAAAGTTCCTTTTTTACTTATCACTAGATCTCAGCTCCCAGTTCCATCAGCACCTGTGAGTCTTCCTCATCCTTTCTACCTAGCGTCCCAGGTCATTTAACCAGCCCCCTTCTGCTGCGTGTATTGGCTTCAGGTTCAGTTTGCAAGTGGTCCATCCAGCTTCCCTCATTTCCAGCTTCCCGAGGGACATCTTGCTGTGACCTCAGGGCACAGCACACTCACTTTCTCCTGCCTAAAAGCTCAGAGTCCCTGTCCCCCCTTCTCCCGCTTGCTGCTGCCCTATTTTGCCTCTTTTCACAACCGGAACTCTTCATTTTTCCGCAAATAAAAGTAGTCTTTCTTTTCAGGTTATAAAAATGGAAACTATTCATTGGGACACACTCAAATGCTACAGGAAAAATACAAAGAAAGTGTATCACCTGCTATTCCCGCCTCTCAGAGGTCACTGGGTTGGCTTGTGTCCTCTGAAGTGCACATGGCCACAGGCATCCTTATGTAAGTGGCGTCATCCCCCCCGTGGGGGTTTAATCCTCTACGATCCTCTCAATCCCCCCTCCCACGTGTGGAACACAAAGATGGCTCTTGGAAGAGCCGCCTGTATTCCCAGGCGTTCCTACCTCCATGACCTCAGTTTGGGTCTCTCAATGGAGACCGCTGTGCGGTCACCACTGGCCTTCCTGTGCTAAGTCAGAAGTTTGGGACGTTTCTGATTGTCAGCTGGTTGACTGAAAAATGAGGGAGCCCCAGATAGGGAGGCAGGAGCCCTGGGTTCTGGGATGGGCTCCCCTCCCAGGGACCAGCAGGTTGGGCCTCTCAGAAGTGTCTGTCATCACTGAGCACCCCCTTCATGGAACCCTTCTCTTGGATCTAAGCCATCATGCTCACCCCATGTCCCCAAGTCCAGCCTCTTCCCCAGGCATTTCTGCCTCTCATCTGTCCTTCAGAAGTCAGCATTCCTCAGGGGATTCCCTGGCAGTCCAGTGGCTAGGACCCCACAGTCCTGCATGCCATGGGCGAGGCCCAAAAAACTGGGAATAACATCCATCTCATTGAGAGAATTCACTGAGGTGACGCATGTCCTAGTAGGTGCTCAGCACCTACTAGGTGCCTTAGACGTCCTGTCGATGATTATGGCTGAGGTAACTGAGGCTCTGAGAGGGGAAGGGAAGTGTCCTATTCTAATCTGTAGCCACTTCAGGCATCAGTATAAATCGCAGGTAAAACGCTACCCTTCATTCCTCTATGGAGAGCTGGCTCTGGGCATAACTGGGAGACCCTGACTTCGATGCGTTCCTAGACTCAAGACCGGTGTCCTCTAAGTCAGCTCCGGGGTGGTAAGAGGTCCTGGCCTAGGGTACCAGAAACTGGGCCTGCTGCAGGCACTCCTTCTCTTCCTTCACAAGCTTTTGATTAGATTATGTAAAGATATCCAATCAGAGCCCAAGATTCAGAGGACTCTGAACCCCCTGCAACTGTATGTAAAATGTCTGTGTGTACACATGTGAATGCATCTGAGCATTTTTCTGGGAATAGCTTTCTTTAGTTTTGTAAAGGAAGTCTGTGATCCAAAAGATTAGTCACTAGCCTGGTTTAAGCCTCATCACTTTTGACCTGGTCTACAGCCTAAGCCTCCAAACTGGTCTCCCCACTCCTTTCTCAATCCTCCACCCACCACAAGGGTATCCTTCTAAAGTGCAATGCTGCCTCTCTTTCCCCTGCTTAAATCCTTCCATTGACTCCAGTGGACTAAATTTCTTGCGTGATATTTAGAGTCCTTCATAATCTCACCCAGCCATTTCCCCATATCCTGCCACACCCGAATCCATTTTTTTCCCCCTAATCCATTTTCTTTGTCTTCACCCTGTCCATGTACCTATCCTCTGCCTTGGCTACACCGAACATTTCTTGCTTCCTAAATGCATCAGGCACTTTCTCATCTCTCATCCTTTGCAAAGGTTTTCCTGTATTCCATTTGACAAACCCCTATTCAGGCTTGAAAATCCAATTCTAGTGCCACTTCCCTTGCAATGTCTTTCTGACATCCCCTCTTTCTGCAATTAGGCACCCCTTCAATGCTCTTACTCCTTTATCACATTTTTCACACTAGATTGTAGTTGCGAGTTTAAGGGTTTGTCACCTGAGTAGGTATGAGGCTCTCCTGGGAGGCACCCAAGTAGGTTGCTACTGCTAAGTCACTTCAGTCGTGTCCAACTCTGTGCAACCCCATAGACAGCAGCTCACTAGGCTCCCCTGTCCCTGGGATTCTCCAGGCAAGATACTGGAGTGGGTTGCCATTTCCTTCAACGAAGCTCTTTTTTTCTTGGAAGAAAATCTATGACCAACCTAGGCAGCATATTAAAAAGGAAAGACATTACTTTGCCCACAAAGGTCGGTCTAGTCAAAGCTACGGTTTTTCCAGTAGTCACGTATGGATGTGAGAATTGGACTATAAACAAAGCTGAGCTCTGAAGAATTGATGCTTTTGAACTCTGGTGTTGGAGAAGACTCTTGAGAGTCCCTTGGGCAGCAAGGAAATCAAACCAGTCCATCCTAAAGGAAATCAGTCCTGGATATTCATTGGAGGGACTGATGCTAAAGCTGAAGCTCCAATACTCTGGCCACCTGATACGAAAAGTCGACTCATTGGAAAAGACACAGATGCTGGGAAAGATTGAGGACAGGAGAAGGGGCCGACAGAAGTTGAGATGGTTGGATGGCATCACCGACTCGAAGGACATGAGTTTGAGCAAGCTCCGGGAGCAGGTGATGGACAGGGAAGCCTGGAGCGCTGCAGTCCGTGGGGTCGCCAAGAGTCGGACACGACTGAACTGAACTGAACTGAACAGGTGCACGTCGGGCTGGGCCCCGCCCCCCTGCTGCCCCGCGGGAACTACGTTTCCCAGAAGGCTGAGCGTCTTGGGCACGCGCACTGGAACCCGAGGAAGCTGCGACGCCGAGTTTCACTCAGGCTGCCTCTTCGTTAGAGTGGGAGCTACAGCCGGAGCAGTGCCCAGGCCGAAGCGGAGCTGCAGTCTGAGCGCGGCGGTGTCCTCCGCCCGCCTGCCTCGCTCTCTTCAGTCTCGGTGAGAGGGGCGGGCCGGGCCACCTGCTCGTCGCCTAGGGCTGGGGTCCCGGGGACGCGGGGGAGACCGAGCCGAGCTGGGACCGGAAGGGGGCGGGCGCGGGCGTGAGGGAGGGTTGGGCCAGGCTGGAGAGGCGCTCCGGGGTGAGGTCCCGGGGGGATTGCGGGGACCGGCCTCTAGGTGGAAGTCCCCGGGGGCGGGAGTTGAGGGGATTGAGAGACGCCCGCAGAGCTTTAGGACCGGACGGGTGGGGGGGAGCGGGAACGCCGAGGTGGAAGCCGAGGAGCTGGCAAGGGGAGGGGCGCAGACCCTGAGAGTTTGTCCCGTCGGGAGGAGAGTACCCTTTCTCACAGGACCCGGAGGCGGCGGCGGCGGGGCCACCGGGCTGCCCTCGTGAGGGTGTGGGTCCTGCTGGGGTCTGCCTCCCGGTGGACGGCTCCTTGGAGTCGGGGGCTGTATTTCTGAGGAGTTCGCTTAACTAACTCCGCTTCTTCTCAAGTAAGGTCCGCCTTCCAGGAAGTGCCTCTTCTCTGGAACCCTGGCTCTCTTCTGCGGGGTGCCAGTAGCTTACGCTGTGGAGAGGACTTACAAGACTTCCCTCCCCCTTTGCCCCCGAAACTACCCTTTCTCAGGTCAGCTACTGTCCTCCACACTGGTTCCTCTTCCCTAAGTGCCAGTAGCAGTGGAAATAGTGTGTGCATAGACGCTCGGCCGCTTAAGAAACTCGAAATATTTCTGCATGCCATCGTAGCTCGTCTAGAGTTCTGGAAGGTGGTCTTTCTGGTAATCAGGCTTTACTTAAACCATCAGGGTAACTGTAACTAGGCTTCTTGTTCATTTAGTGTGCGACCTTGACAAACTTTTACGTTCTCTAGTTTGTTGATTCCTTGGATGCTCACAAAGCAAACTGGCTTACAAAATCCTTTCAGGCCTTTCTGTGGAAAGGCTTTTTTTTTTCCCTTCCCCTAAGTAGCCCCTTGATTATTGAGTGGGCAGAGGGAGACTACTGTACCTTCTGCCCTGCCCAGGCTGTTGGAAAATAAATCTGGTGGTTTCCAGTCCCCAGCCGCAGCACACAGACCCAACATCTGTGCAGTCGTTTTCACTAACTGCTGTTTCCCAATTTAAAACCCGATCATCTTCTTCCTTGTTGGCAAAGGTGCCTTGGAATTTGTGTCGCTGAGTCAGCAAGCCTTTCAGATTTGCCCGGTTTTTGTTGTTTGCGTTTTCTATCAAAATGGGAATCTACACAAATCATTCCTCCTAAGGATCTGGTATCTCCATCAAGAAGGCACCGTTTGTGCCAGCTCTCCACAGAGAAAAGATGAGAGCCACGGGAACTTCACATCGCTGCCTTCCCAATCTGGTTTTCAGTAGAGAAAGTGCGAACTGGGGAGGGGGAAATTTGAGGTCCCCAGTATGAAAGTGAGCCTTGGGAGTGGATTGTTGATTGCCTCCTGTCTCAGATAGATTCAGGTGGCTTCTTGCCAACAGCTTCTCCTGTTTAACCAGTCTTAGAAGCTACTTTCTGTTTTCACACATGCATTATGAGATGTAGGACACGAGTCAGGATTTCTGCATTGGAAATTTTAATTTCTTTGGTCACTTGAACCTTTACTGGATGCTTCGTTTTTGTCAGGCCCCCTGCTCGGTGCTGAGGGTGCAGTGGCCAGCCACAAAAACTCTGTCTTCCAGGAGCTCATCGTTTGGTGGGAAAGATAAAGAAACCATAGGCAGTGACAAGGTGTTGTCAGTGTGATACATATTGAGGAGTGGGTAGTCACAGGGCAGAGCCCACCCCACCCCACCCTTGCCCAGGAGGGAAGGTCCAGAAGGCTTCCAGAATGTGAGAGCCAAAGTGAATTGTGAAGAAGGAGTAGGACCCAGGAAGTAGGGGACGAAGCCTGGCAGAGGAGTCAGTAAATGCAAAGTTGTGAAGAGACCTGGCATGTCTGGGTCACTGTAAGTGTGGCTTCAGTGTGACTGGGGCAACCAGATGGGTACAGGGCCGAGAAGCCTTGAAAGGTAGGCAGAGGGCTGAGTGTGGGGGCTTTTACGTGTCATGCCAAGACTTGGGGGATTTTACAGGAGAATTCCGGGAAGGGCCTTGTTAAATGAACACCCTGGCTAGGAGGCGTGGAATGGATTGGATTGGGTCGTTCTCCTTGTGACTGTTTCCTTAGATCACGCCAGCTTCTAGTAGAGGGAGGTAGACAGGGAAGTTTGTGCTCTCGCTGTTCTTGGGCTTGTTCAAGAGATAGAGTGGCCGGAGAGAGCTGTGGAGGACCGATGCAGTGCCGTAGAAGCTGATGAGGGGATTTTCTTGCAAGAGGGCACGTCGCGGCATCCTGGAGATGTTTAACTAGTTGGCCAAGTGGGTGGGGTTCCAGGTAAAGTTGAAGCGCAGAGTTGGGGAAACCGGATGTATATGGGGTAGTGGGTCATCACTCTCTGGAAGGAGTCGGGGAGGGGGAAGTGTAGACGGAAGAGGGGTACTGGAGAGAGGTGTGCCGCAGATAGTGTTGATAGGGAGGGACCTGGCTGATGGACTTTCACCATGGGCCACGGAATGTGAACATTGTTTCTAGACCTCAAATGGAGGTGTGGAAGAAAGAGGGAGGCAGGACTGTATTCCAGGAAGCTCCGCCTTGCCCCTGTCTCTGAGGTGGGTGAGGAGGAGAGACAGTTGGAGAAGCCAGGTGGGAGAGTGTGCTTATCCAGGTGAGAGGCTGAAAGGTCCCAGCCCGGTGCTCACAGTGGGGGCTGAGGTAGCAAGAGAGCAAGCCAGGGCAGCTGCTGGGCTGGGGAGAAGCTGGAGGAGGGGCAGCCCAGAGCCAGGGGATCCAGGAGGAAAGAGAGAGAAGCAAGGAAGGTGAGTTTGACTTCAGACATGTTGGAGGTACCTAAGAGACAGCAGGAATGGGGCCACGGACGAAGCGTCCCTCATTCATTCCACGTGTGCCCCGGAAGTTGTGTGCTAGGGTTTGTGCTCAGCACTCGGAGGTGAATTAAACAGTCACCTCTGTGGGTTTGTTTTAATATTCATCTCAGATAAACAGAGAACTGGATTGCTCCACACTGATCACCCATTCACACATGGCCTACTTTTATTTGTTTCCTAAGTTTTTTTTAATGAGTGTTGTGAGTTCCTGCATTTCATCCATCCACAACAAAAGCCAAGATCTTGAGAGAGAATACATATCCAGTTTTTTATCTTTCTTCCCGTTCCGATCCTGAGATATCCATTATCCCCTTGCTTTCATTTTTATCTATTTTATGGTTCCTGGGTATTCCTAAGGAACCTAAAAAATATTGCTACAATTTGTCCGTAGTATTGCATGTCACTTGGTTCATTTGTCTTGAATATTGAATAATAGTCCATGGTGTGAACAAACCAGTTTCTGCATCTGATCTTCTATTGATGGGTGCTTGGTCATTTCCAGGTTTTTGCTGCTGAGAGAGGGCTGTTCTGAACACTTCTATACATGTTCCCTGTTACACCCACTCAGGAGGTTTTCTTGGGTGTGAACTGAGGGGTGGTGTTTTGCTGGATCGTTGGGTAAATAAATATTCAACTTCCATAGCTGTTGCCAGACTCTTTCTGAAGTGGTTGTATGAGTTTGCCCTTGTACACTTTCACACTTGCTCCACACTCTTGCCAACACTTGATATAGGCTGATTTTTTTTTTTTTTTTGGCCAATGGAATGGATATAAAATGGGATCTTTGGGATCATGGTTTCTATGTCACCAAACCCTAATGTCAAGCATCTCTACATAAGTTTATTGGCGTGCGTGTTTCTGTAAATTTTATATCTTCTGCCAGTTTTTCTGAGGGCTTCTTGGCATTTTTTTTTTTAATTGATTTGTAAGAGTTTTCTTATGTATGCTTGATTTTAATCCTTTGTGCTTATTGCACATATCTTTTTCCAGCTTACAACTTTCTGTTTTCTTTAAGGCACATTTTGTCGAGCAACCATTCTTGATTTTAACACAGTGAAATGTATCTTTTCATTTATAGTCAGCGTTCTGTGTCTCCTTTGAAAAATCTTTTCCTAACCGTATCCTTGCCTGTCAGGAGCCCATGCCTCGGTGGAGGGGGCAAGTAGATAATTGCACTCCGATGTCACATGAACATTGGCGGTTAGGTGTGGCCACTTCTCCCTGCAGGGCAGGAGTGTGTATAGGAAAGATTTCACAGGGAATTAAGAGAGGAGTGAATGGACAGGTGGAGTGGACACTCTGGGTGTGGCGGTGGCCATGAAACAGCCTGATCGGTTCTGGGCTGTCCCTGGGGTTGCTGATGGCTGGACCAGTGATGCGGGCAGGTTATCTGAAGAAAGATCTGGATGATCAGCGTGCGTGGGGTTATTGAAGCCGTGGGAACAGATAAGAGAGTTACTGGGGAGTGTAGAGAGGAGAGGTGGACCAGGCCTGATTGCCCGATGCAGGGAAGGTGTGGCTCTGGGAAGCAGCTGGGCTTGCCCGGCCCGGTCCGCATGCCGCCTGTTGGGCGAAGACCGACGTGTCTGCGGAGCGCAGGCTTGCTACGGGGGAGGCTCGCCAGAGCCATAAGCACTCTTCCCGTTTTTAATAGAGAAACGGGTTCCGAGAAGTGCTTCTCAACTATCCGGACAGTGAGAGCACAGCGTGGCTGGCAAACCATAGCTCACGGGCCAAGTCAGCCCACAGCCTGTTTTTGTACATAAAGTTTTATTGGAACACAACCACACGAGTTAGTTTACACGTGGCCCATTACTGTTTTCACACTGCAGAGTTGAGTAGTTGCAACAGATACGCTATGTTCTGCCAAGTCTACAATAGGTACCTTCTGACCCTTTACAGAAAAGGTTTGCCGGCCCCGCCCTGGGGAGTCATGGTAACTGTGGTAACCTTGAGCGGTACCGGCCACCACAGTGGTGCAGCTTGTTGTCGCTGCCTGGATGATGAATCTGGGTCAGGCCTGCAAACGTTGCCAGGTTTTCTGGTTTTCAAGAAAAGC